ATTCGCTAAAATCCACATTGTCTGCTTATATAGCGATGCTTGGCTGGCAAAAGCAAACTCAATTACTTATATACTACACATCTATTCCGGAGAAAAAAAAAACCCCTCAAGTGCCCCAAAGCTATTTCGACAAGATTTGCAGCTACTCAAAATGCAAACATTACTGAAGCTGCTGGCAAAGATGTTGGCTCAGTTGGCTCCGTTGACTGATGCCAGTTGCCTGTTGCCTGCTGCCTGTTGCCTGCTGCTTTGCTTTTTGATGATTACAAATTAATCACACTTTAAACATGGCAATTACGCTTCGTGCTCCGCGACAGGCTCTCATAGCCAGGGTCTGAAGCCATAGAACTGTGGAGCTGTGATATGCAATTCATGTAATCTCATAGATGCTATATACTCGTACTACATGCCAAGGAAAGCGCTACCTTGGCAGCATACGGCCCGGGGGCTTTTGCTGGCATTTATATGGAAAAATTGCTTCCTTTCGTTGTTAAACTTTCGTTTTAATAAATAATCAAGCAGACTGACTATCGTTTTGCACTTGGACTTGGACCTTATTTCAACGTCTTTGCTTTTCTTCGTCTTCGTCTTCGGCATCTCCTTCTTCTGGACGCGGTTCGTCAGGTCCCTCATGTAATTTCCAGGCAATTTCTCATACCCATAATTGCATAATTTCAAAGTTGTTGGCAACTTAATTGCGCACAACGCGACCAATGCTGGCAGCTGCCTTGCATCTCACTAGCGCTACCACAGCTACCCAATTGCCCCGTTGCCCAATCCGGCTACGTAGCGCTGTCTTCGGTGTAAATAAAACCTTTTTAAACGGTTGTCATGCGGCAGTCGCATCCAAGACAACTCACACTGAAAACAATAACAGCTATTGAAGTAAAAATATATTTCGAGTTCATCTTTTAGTTGATTTGATTAGATCAACAATGTTGTCAACTTTTATAAATATTAATTTATTTTTTTAAATAAATTTTAGTCATTCTATAAAGCTTCAGATCAGCTGAAAGTAACTGAAACTGATTTTAAATCTGCCTTGACATCCTTGCACCATTAGAGAAAATATTTAACTGATAGGGGTTAGGCTCGGGAAATAAGACAGACATTTTATAAGATCATATTAATCAACTACCAGTATTTATATATTAATATTCATAATTAAGTTGATAAGAACACGCAAGCCTGAACTCTAAACTTAAATATAAATTAAACATTATATTTATTTATTCATTTATATCATGCAGGATACATTTAATTTGGCATTCAGTCTGTTTGTATTTCTTTTTTTTTCAGTGCACGACTACCGGGCACTGTTAGTGACTCTAACTGGTATTGGCGCACTTGGAAGTTGGCTAACTGCCTGCATGATGAGTCGCCCCTGCGATTCTGACTTGAAAGCGCGCACATCATCAAACATATGTTGCTGCTGCTGCTTGCCCCCCTCCGCCCGTCATCCGCTCAAAAGTCCCGCGTTACTCCAACGCCTGACAGATGACTACAAAATCTCCATCGGTGCACGGCGTCTTCGCCCCGCGGCCATTTACCATCAAAGTTAATATGCTTTATATTAAATTTGTTGTCTGGCCTCGCTTTTGTTGTTGCTATTGTTGTTATCGTTTCTGTTGTTATTGTTATTGTTGTTGTTGTTGTTGTTGCTGTCGTAGTCGTTGTCGTTGCCTGGCAGCAATGGCCATACAATCTGCATCTGCCACAATTTCCACGGTCTGCCCGCGCCGCTTTCTCCACCCCGCTCGGAGGTCGACACATTTGTCGCACCGTGGAATTGTTTGGGATGCGTTTGCTGCGTTTCTCATCAAATTACTCAATTAATTTCAGTTAAATTAAAAACACTGCGCAGACAAGAAAGAACTAAACTGTTCTTGCCGTAAATGTCGGCCAATTGTGAAGCGCAATTCAAGTTTATACAGCAGCGGCAGGAAACATTTGCCAGGACCGAAACAGACAGAACACAGACAGAGGTAGGTGGTTATCCGACCTCGCAAATAGTCGTTAATTTGGCATTTGCATTTAAATGTTGGACAATGGCAATTTATTCTTAATTGAGATTAAGCAAGGCGAACAACGCCAAGTCGGAATAGGAATAGGAAAAAGGTGTTTACAACAGTGCAAATAAATTAAAGCAAGTCATTTTAAGGTTGAAAAGAACGTCGACTTTAATCCAATTTATTTAAATATTTAACTGCATGCATGTCTATATAATCGCTCCAACTTTGACAAAAATATTTATTCAAGCATGATCCAGACTTCGATTTCAAAAGGGGAAACCTTTCCCTTTTGCGCAAATTGAAGCTTTGAAAACAAAAGTGAAAAGCTTCGCAGATTCGAGCAAATTCGCCTGAATAATATTGATTTCACGATATGTTTAGATTCAATGATATTTATTGTCAATATATACATATAACATTAGTGAATGGAAAGAATTTCATTATATGTTACTACACAATTTGTATCCTTACAATTTTCAACATATTAAATGGCATCAGTGGAGAGTTCCCAGTCTGAAGTCATTTAATAATGTCATGCAAATTTCTGGGTAAAGAGAACTGAATCATATATTAGCATATAGAACAATTTGCAAATAGCTTCAAGCTAATTGCAATACGAAGAAAAGAATTTTCGACGTAATTTTTATCGTTCAAAGTGAAATAGTTTTGCGGCGAGGTATTTGCAAGTAGATTAATGGCTACGCTGCTTGCAAATGAGCCAAGCAAATCAAAACAGTCGTCTTCCTGGAGGTGATGGGGAGTGAGGCGGATTGGGTCTAGGCCAAGAAGCAGAACCCGTTCAGTCCAAGCCAAATGCATTTGGCACGCAATTATGCCCAAAGTGTTAATTGCATTTCCGCCACTGCCAAAGCCGGCTATCAAACTACAACCATGGCACGGCCCACAACTCACGCAGTTGGCCTTAGGCGCAAGCAGTTGCCGGTCAGTTTTGGGCCAAGAAGCTGCCGTAGAAGTAAAAGCAGCCAACCAAGGCTAACACATTCAGAGATAAGCAACGTGCAGAGTTAACGGCACTTTTTGCTGCAAGTGCTGCTGCCTCCCCGGGAGACTTGGTTAATAATGGCGCATGCGTGGCAGACACGCAGCAGCAGCAGCAGCAGTTGCAACATCAGCCGCAGGAGCGTGTTCTGCGGGCAGCGAAATACAACGAAACTAAGTCAAATATTTGTAGAACACAGAGTAGACAGCCAGCTCCCCAGGCTAACTGCAAATGCGAAATTTATGGGTCCCGAAAGTCGCGTGGACGTCGCCTGAAAGATATAGCTTAACAGTCAAATGCTGGCATTTAAAATACCCTAACTAACTATATATATATATATATATATATATATATATATATATATATATATATATATATAATATATAATATATATAAGCTGAAATTTAAAACACCCTCAATAATGAGACTGTAAAATGTATTTGTGATTAATTTAGTCGCAGTTCAAAATTATGCTGATTTAACTATAAATTCATTTAATATTCTGCAAATAATATTGTATTCAAATTTAAATGTAAAATTGACCATAACAACTTTAATTAACAAAATAAAATAATTGTGATACTTAAAATTTGAATGGAGTAAAAATGTTAATTTAAATGAAAAATCCTTGTGTGACTTAAATGCAATATGCAAAATTAAATTAATTAATTACCTAAAAATCGTTCTCGATATATATTTAAATTATATTGAAATAGTATTGGTTTTTATTACAAAAGCGACACTAAAATCATTAACACAATTAATATATGTATTTGAAATTTTTGTCTTTAATATATGTTTTTGATGGATCCAGTTCTGCTCGTGTTTCAATTAAATTAATTGTAATAATGATATTTATATCGTTCTTGTAACTAAAAGCAATTACTCATTTATAAATTATAGAAAGAGGTAATCAAAACTTGTATTTTTTAGTAGTCTTAAAATATGCAATGCATATTAAAAATAATAGTCTCAACCTGCATGTCAAAGCTGCTATGCACTTTCGCTATCAAAAAAGAAATGATTTCTTTGTGGCATGCCGCATATTCATGAAGTGCTTTGCAATGGGACCAAGTGGTCTCGGATCATTCCCAGCTGTGGTCTGTGGCCAAGTCGCAATCCTGGCTGCGTTGTCTACTGCAATGAGAATGGACGCTGACAGACGGCCAACCAGGAGGCGTCTGTCATTTATCGAAGTCTTTGCATGTCTTTGCATGCGGCTACACTTGATAAGAGAGTAGCAGAGAAAATAAACGATGGAGGCACATTTGAATCGAGCAGCTGGGACAGTCGATTGCTCATTCCTTCGCCAAGTCCCATTGGCATTGGCATTGGCATTGGGATTGGCATTGGCATTGGCAACCAACTTGGCTTGGCTTTGCGCTCTGCGTTCTGGGCTTTGGCCAAATCCGTTAATAAGCCATTTTGACAAATTGGATGATTGCCGTCTTCATGCCTGGAATTGCGAGCAATGTGTGGAAAGTCTGATGCCAGCGAACAACGATAATGCTGACGATTGTCAATTGATCTGAAGAGTAATGAGCAGCATTTAATTCATCGATTGCCGCCAAAGACATAAAACCATATTTACTTAGCATTAGATTTAATGGCTCTGCACAGTAAATCCATGTTAAAACCTTGCCAAAATTAAGCATGACATATAATAACAGCCAAGTTAGTTGAATGCGGAAGCGACTGAAAAGTCGATTTGGATATTGGTAACAAAAACTCAAAGCAGCTGCCCAAAAAGGAGCAATTTATCTTTTAGGTATATTTGGGATATTTCAGTATTTCTTTAAGAAATAATTTTATTTTACTATTCAAATTATATGAGAAATACTATTTTATCTGATTTTCATTGGGGGATATACTCATTTACACCAAATTGAAATAAACACAATATTTTGATTAAGAAATTTATTTCGAACTTATGAATTACAAAAAGAATTAAGATGAGAATCTTAAGGAAAGACTTAAAGTGATATAAATTGTGTGTTAAAAGAGAATAGCCACCTCTGTAATTACTGTTATTTGTTTATATTACGTTACATTTATTATTGTTATTTTCCTTAATCGCAATCGCAAAACTAGTTCTAGATTCGCTCTGCTGATGTGGTTATTGCTGCTTACATCATATCACGATCGTAGCACTTGACGGTATTCTTGCACTCATCATCTTGCACTTGACGGAAGACTAGGAGTAGATGATGCATACAATTAATAACAGCTAATCGATTAAATAGGGCGAGTCGATCTACTTACCATTCTTGGTATTGAAGCAGTTCCATTCACTCAGCTCGCATTGCCCAGCGAACTCGACAATGCAATTTCCGTTGGTGGCACAAACGGGCAGCGCCTGCTGCGGACACTGGAAGTTGCACTTGCCCAGCTGCTGCAGCTCGCGTTGCCCCTCGACCAGCACGGGCACCGGCTCATTAGATGACAGCAGGCGGGCTGTTTTATGATCTGGTTTACCGGTAGCCGTTGTGGAACTGGTGAGGCTGCTTCTTGGCTTCGGCTTTTGTTGATTCTGCTGCTGCTTCTCGCGCTCTTTGATCGCTTGATTGATGACTAGGGGTATTTGCGTCTGCGCCTGGTGCATCACGTGGACGACTTGCTGGTGAATCTTATTGACCTTGTCGCTAATGTCTACCGGCGCTTTGCCGGGCACCGAGACCACAACCTGCGGCAGCACTTTATTGTGTCCCGCAGCAGGAGCTGCTTGTTGCAATGTGGCTGTGGCCTGATGATTTATCACCTGCGTCACCACCGGCTGCCCAACATGTGGTGGCAGCAAATCCAAGTGCGGCACGGCAGCTTTTCCTCCGTTTTCATTCGCATTCCCTTTTCCATTGGCAGCTGCAACCTGTGGCACGTGGCCAGTTAGGGTTGTGGTCTGACCGGGTTTCTTCTGCTCCAACACTTGATTGATGTGATTGTTTATCAGGTTCACCACGTGCAAGGGCAGCTCGACAGGTTCCGACACCTTTTGCTCCGGCTTTTCAAGCTCCACTGCCTGCGACAGCGTCAGAAAGGCTGCAATAGGTGATTAAATATATTTATATTTATATTGTAGATATTTTAATTACTATATGTTTTTTGTAAATTATTATTTATAATTTATTTAGCAATTTTTAAATTATAATATGCAGAGACATTCTCAAAACTCACCAAATATCAGCAAAGCTATCATATTGTTTTTTTTCAGTTCACTTTTACTTGGAGACGCTCGACAGCGATCTGTGATGCTTTCGATCTGAGTTGGCAGGTTTTATACAATTTCAAATCCGATCAAATGTCAGCTGTTTGAATCGAACCAATCGATTTGTCACACGCATTTTTAGCTTACTTAAATGCATTTTTTATGATAATTTAATTATAATGTAAACTCCTGTAAACTCTGTACTCAGAATCTCGGCGTGCTCTTTGAAGGAACTGGTTTCGGCCTGCTTAAGCAAATATTTATTTGCATTAATCGCTTCCTTATTAATTAATATTTTATTTTCACTTATGTATATTTCTGATTGGGGAGTGAGTACTGGTTAGGTTTTGAATATTCAAAAAAAGTTGGCAGGAAATAATAAAAAATGAATATGTTTTTGTCGAAATATAATCTTAAAAATAACTGTGGAATAATTTTCACTCATCAACAAGTATAAATGGCCAATAAGCATACATTTAGGTGCTTAATTTCACATTCCGAGAATCACATTTATAGTCTCTGCCTAATTGTATGCTTTATAAAGTGGAATTCGTTAGCTATTGAAATTCAGTATTTTTGTTAAAATAAATACGAATACTCGAATGAATTAATTTTTATTTTCATCTACATATTTTTGCTTTGATTTTTAAACGGCTGCTTTTATGTAACATATACAAAAGAAACAAAAATATGCAAATTTCCTGCGGGACTCCGCCTGCTTTCGCACCACAAAACAAAAGCTTTTATTTTTGTCTGGCAGACAATAAATGACAAACCCAAATGATGACGAGTACGATGATGATGATGATGATATCCAGTTTTGCATATTTTTGGCAGGTGTTGAAATAAAGGATTATGATATCCACCAGTCAAAAGTTTTTCAGTGCCAATGTGACAAAAATTCAGTTACAAAAACATTTGTGGCAACTCACAGAATCAGCAGTTGAACAGTTGCTGCAGACTGCAAAAAACAACAACATCAACGAGAACCCAGTCCAAATTATCTGGAGAAATGGCACAAATCGTTCACTGCTCTGCCTAAGTAAGTTTTGCGAACACTTTGTGTCAGTGTTGCCAATTATCGTATTCTAAACTATTAATATAAAATATTTATTTATATTCTATGATATTTATTGTCTATGATGTATGGAATTTTCCCCAGTGTTCAGATTAAACTCAGCTTATAATAATACAACAGAATCTAAGGCTGCCACCATTGTCTTCTACGCCTGCACAATCATGATAAATTAGAAAATATATATTTAATAAAACTACAGTAAATAATTAAATTATTTCATTTTATATATTTATAACAAATCATATTTTTATTGCTATCTAAAAAGTAAAATATGTGAGTAAAGGAATCACATCATAAATGTAGAGAAATAGGAAACAGCAGCGATTTATATGAATATGAACATGTTTCTTAAAGCAATATAAGCCAGTCTTAAAAGTATTATATTTATTTACAAACGGCTAAATTATAGTTAAAATTTCATGATAGCTTAAATTATAGAGCAATGTCGATTCGATTGTTGATTGGCTTAGTCAATTTAATTATATAGATACATGTTCAACAATGAATTCATATTAGATGACCTGGCCATTTTAATTCGGTATATTCCAGATAGTTGAATGTGGTTAAAATGCTGTAAAAATGTTTTCTTTGTAAGTTGATATGCTTGAACTAGTTCGATGTGAGTTCTAAGAAATCTTGAAGTTTTGCTACGTGTAGACTTCAAAACAAAGAACATTGTAATATCTAAATTTATTAGTGCAAACATGCAAGATAAAATTGATTTGTGCGCATTCATAGCACGATTTTGTGGATTTTCAACAATAAACTTTATTCTGTGCATTGTTTACAATGGTTTATTGCTCAATTTTATTCACAAAAAAAGTATTAAAATTTTCTCTTGTTGCACAAAGTTTGATTCAAATACATAAATTTAGCATGTGCAACTATTGTCTGCTCGACTAAATAAAGTTGTGGTGCATGTTCCACATTGTTCTCTCGTTGCCAAAAGACGACTACCTAAAGATTCTCAACTCTGCTTTTTATGCTTTGTTATCCGATTATTTGTAGTGAGCTGTGTTGGTTTGTATAACTTTTGCTTTTTTTCATAGCATATGTACGTATTTATGATAGTAATACAATTTTACAAGTAAACATATATTTAGTTCAGGTGTTTCTTAAGTAATTCACATATTGAGGTCATCGGCTCGGCAGCGATGAGCGCATACTCCCATTTGACAGATATCCTCGTCCACTGCACTGAAGGCCACATCGCGATGCTTGCAGTTGAAGGCATTCATGACGCACTGATTGGGAAACTCATGGATACAGTTGCCATTGTAGGCGCAGATGGGATTCAGCTCCAACTTGGTGCATAACTCATCGCACTTCTCAACGGGTGTAGGCGGAGTTGGCAGCGGTGTCGTAACGCTGGCCAGTAGCAACTGATGACAGTTCTTGGAGGCCATGCGATTGGTTGAGCTAGTTGTGGTCTCTGCTGGTGCGACAACAGGATGAACTTCTGAGCTGGCACTTGAGTGGTCAGGGCTGGGCATGCCAGGATTGGGCATACCTGGTATGGGCATACCAGGATTGGGCATTCCAGGAAGAGGGATTCCAGGATTGGGCATGCCACGAGTTTCGATTCCAAGGTTTGGCATGCCAGTAAGGGGGACTCCAGGATTGGGCATGCCAGGAATAAGGATTCCAGGATTGGGCATGCCACGAGTTTCGATTCCAGGATTGGGCATGCCAGGAGTAGGGACTCCAGGATTGGGCATGCCAGGAGTAGGGATTCCAGGATTGGGCATACCATGATTAGCCGTTGGTACGATAGCTCTCATATTTCGTACCTTAGCCAGTGGCACCTTAGCAGTGGGTGGCACCACCACCTGCTCGGTCATCACCTTTCCTGGCTTTACCTCCACCACACTAGCCACCTCATGCTGATCCATATCCTTGGACACAACGGGCTTTCCATTGACCAGCAATGGCACTTGAACCGTTACCCGGCCAATTTCTGTAGTTGGCATCACCTGCGCTGCGTTGCAATCATAACACAGCAGCACTGCAAGGAGTATTCAAAGGTTAGTCGGGACTGGAAGCAGAGATTATGAATATGACGTGCTCACCTGTGGCCAAAATGAAAAGGAGCTTGCCCATCTTGTGACTTCAACTTCTTGGACTTCTGTGTCCTGAACTGGGTCTTGGCATTGACTTTTATACGATTTGAAACTGTAGCCGCCGTAGCCAACCAGTTATGTGATCGACGGGGGAACAGATGTTGTGGTTTCGTCATATTCCAGAACCGGTTGCGACAAAGCTTTCCTCAATAAATCCAACGTTATGGTTATTGTTTTTGGGTGGGTTTTGTGAACTTTAGTAAGCAAACAATTTCTGATCTTTATAAAATTCTTTTTATTATTTTTAGTAATATTTCTTACACTTCGTTTGTGTAAATTAACATTAAAACTCTATGTTATTAGGCATAGATGTACATTTTGTTAAAATATAATGGACTTTTTTAGTATTATCTACAAGCTTAAAACTTTGAATTTCTTGCCTTTTACAGCACTCTTCTATCATATAAAATTATTTCTTGCGACTTTCGAAAATCATTTAAGGCATCAAACTTTTGATTAGCAATTTTTTAAACATAGTTTTGATTTAGATAGTTATCGTTATATATATATATAAATATGTGTAAAATAGTTGACCACTTTGAGTTCTGTTTTCTGTTCTGGTTTTCATTGAGTTTAGGGCTCGGTTGCATGGCTCGTAATCAAAGAGCCTCTCCACAGTAGCGATCCCTAAATCTTTGCACATTGCGTCCATCATCTATGTTTACATTCTATACTATGTATATGTAGTACGTTGTTCAGTTAATTAAGATTAGTTTTACATATTTGCATACATATTTTGTGTATTATTTTCATTTTTGTGTTCGGTCTACCATTTCTTGACAAGCAATTTCTATCATTTTTCATAGATTCAGGCTAAATAAAAAACATCAACTATATATCCTGGGGATTGTCCATACCATAAACGCAAATTTTTGATAGGTTTCTCTTCGATCTGTATGTAGTAAATGGGCAGCAGCAAAGGCATTGGTAAGAGCATAAAAGAAAGTAAGTCGAGAAAATAGAGCAAATAGAGGAAATATATATAGATTTAGATATAAGATGAAGAAAAAAGAAGTAGAAAGAAAGTTGAAATTTGAGAAAATATAACAAAGTTTATGTTAGGGATAAGTTCTTCTTAATAAAACTCCTACAAATATCCTAATCGCTGCCCCTTACTTAATTATATTTAAGAATTTAAATGATATATTATCAAACATTTGAACGATACTTTCAACCGTTCTGCACACCTACTCATACACATATCATATACTTACATAGTAACTATCAATTGCTTTATATATTAATAAATATTGTTGGTTTTAAAAGGTGTATAATCTTAAGAGCTATTTTTTTTATGTTTAATATCTTTAGGGCTCAACAACACTACAATAACTATAAACAATTTGCTGGGGTTTTTTCTTTTGACAATATTATTTTTTCCTATTTTACAAAAATGAAACTTTTATACAAAACGATTAGTTAAAATAGAAAAGGTTGACGAAAAATATATAATTAACAATTTCAACTAACTTCACATAAATTTGTAGTTCTGTTCTCTTGTGTTGTTCGGTTTAAAAACTACAATAAATTGTTATAAAATAAATTATTACTTAAATTGTATACATAAATATATGGGAAAGCCTTAAAATGTATTTTAAAGTAGTTAATTAGTTAGTTTTCCGTTTAGAGTTTATTTTAGGTGGTCCAGAGACTGTAAGGTGTCTGGGTTATTGTTTCATCCGGTTGTTCTTTTACTTGCGCTCAATGGGCTTGACTTCGAGCAACTGGGGATAGTTCTCCACGATGTTCAGTAAGATTGTATCAATGTAGTGCTTGAGACGCACATTCTCATCCTCCTTTTCCTGGAAGGCCTGTTGCAGCTGTAAATTTGTGGAAACCGATTAGTAGCATATTCTTTAATAGCAAGGAACATTTAACACAAAGTAAGGCATGAATGTCATCTTAATTTTTATACGTATACATTAATGATATGAAGTTTGATGATCTTGAAATATTTTGTTAATAACCAATATGGCCCACACCCAATTTCGAGCATTTTAAATAACTTTGTGAGCAAGTGCCGGAAAGAATTTGTTAAATTGACGTTAACGTAAACCACAACCATATGACAGTAGCAATCAAACTGCAGCACATGCACAGTGGCTCCAAAACCGTGTTTTGTGATATTTTTGCCTTTTATTTTGAGTTCTTGTTGGTGGATAAGCATTACCTGACTTAAGGATGCTAATGTGGCTGAATCCACAGAATCCTGTAATACAATAAATACAATATAAATATATGAGGTACAATAACGACGAATTGCGAGACAGCAGGACTCAAACTCTCAAACTGTGCGACAAGTACAAAGCGTGACTGTGCGTGGGCGGTGTGTTTGACAAATGTGTTGACAAATGTGGGCGTGGCAGCGTCAAAAATAAAAGCATAGAGCATAGCATACAAGCATAGCGCACGGGGACGACAGTGAGTACGTGTAAGAGGGATAATGCAACACACACCTGAGCCTGTGACATCTCCTCCAGCTCCTGGGCCAGATTATTCAGAGTGCCATTCAGCAGGTTACGTCCCTGCTCGACGCCATTGGTCAGCATGGTGGCCTGATTCGTCAGCATGGTTGCCTGCAGCTCCTCGTTCTGCTCCTCGAGTGCTGAAATACAACAACAAAATAAACAGAAATTAGTTTATATTCTTTCTGAGATTTGTCTGACTGATCATTGCACTTACAGCGATTCTTTTGGCGCATCTCCTCGAGCTCTTGGTGCAGCTCCTCCAGTCTTATGCTCTCCGGTGATGTGGTGGGCATGGCACGTGCCCCGTTCTCCTCGCGGGCACGCTGCAATTCGCGACTCAGCTCGAGCATTAGCTCCTCGGTGGATTTCTTTTCCTTTTCGTGTTGGCGCAGCGTTTGCAGCTGCTCATCGTATTCCTGCTGCAGGGCCGCAATCTGATCGCGTGCCAGCTCCAGCTGCTCCTCGGTGCGATGCAAATCGTTGGCCTGCTTATCGCACAAGACACGCAATCGCTGCGCCTCGTCGCGCAATGCATTCGCCTCGATTTCTGTGGCTTTGATCTTCATCTGGCAGTTCTCATTCTGCAGCGAGGCTTCGCGTTCCACACGGGCCAAAATTTCGCGATGGCGCTTCTGCTCCTCGGCCAAACGCTCCTCGGCACGCAACTCCGACTGCAACCACAAAACAGTAAAACAGATTTAACTAGTGACTCTAGTGACTGGTCAAACTAACTATTGCAGTTAACTATTACTCACCTCTCTGTACTGCTCCTCGAGCATGTGATAGCGCGCCTGGAGCACCGCATATTCAGTCTTGGTGCGCGTCGTGCGATCCTCGGCTATGTTTTGCGTATCTGACAGATCGTCCACCTTGCGCTGCAGCAGCTCCAACTGAAAGTGAACGAAAGTAAAAGTCAGTTTTTGTAGTTTGTATTTTAAAGAGTTCATTGGATTCATCAATTTGTATTCTGGGCTTCGCTACTAACACAATCGCTTTTCATGTGCCGCAAATCGTGGAGCAGCTCATTCACCAACCGCACATCAGCCATGTGATTTTTTAAATACATTTGCATATATCTGGCATATACATTATCTGGGTCTCTATATATGCCTATATGTCTATATGCCGCTGCCTGTTGCACTCTGTGTTCATCAAAAATTCAACAAAAATTTCGGTTCGGCATCGTCGTCTTTGCTCATTTGCTTGCCCCAAACGACTGCAAACGTAGCCGGAGGCTGTTATTTGTTATTTGTTTTTGTTCAGCGACAGAGAGCCACAGAAGACGGCAAACGACGCCAGTCTGTGGGCAGGCCACACTTAATTACACTGGGCAACAATTTTGTGGAATATTATTTATTACACAACCAATAAGCGAATAATCAAAGGAACGATTGGCATTTGATACTTTTCTTAATTATTGAGCAAAACTTATTATTGATCACCATAATAAAATGTATTTTTAAGCAGATTTAACTCAGTAAATCGAACCTCTCCTTAGGAGAATGAAACAAATTAATAGTCTTAGTGAACATTAATATCAAACACAAATCGATTGCTGTTGCACAGTGTTATTAGACATGCCCAGCCCAAATAAATTTCATAAATATTGAGTATACGCCCAATGTGCATGGCAAAAGCACAGACAACTGTGGAATAGGCCCCCACAAATGTTGGCATCGCATTCATTAACTATTTTTGGTAGACATGTGAAACCAAATTGTTGACTGCACTCATCTCAGTTTGCTCAAGCTGCTGTTCAGTGTAATTATCGACACATGTATATATATATATATATACAATGCATATATGAAATCACTCGACTATTGTGTGCTCAGCTGCCGATAAGAAATTTGCTCAGGCGGATGTGATCTGGTGTTGCAAATGGAATACACTACTATGGTAACTGATAGTCAAGAAATGATTACTGTTGCACTTCCTTTACATTGTAAGCCAGCAGTAAATTAGTGTTGCACATTATTAAAATGATAACCCAACTTTGACTTATAGTGTTGGCAAATGAATTAAAATTATTTAGAAATTAGAGTTGGAAACACAATCCTGTGAAATTGAATTTTAATAGAAAATAAAAGCTTTTAATTTAAAATTTGAAACACAATTAGAATATTAAATTCATAAGCAACTTAATTAGTCGCCTTCTCATCCCTATTCGTAAACATCTTTTGATTAGCTCACTTTTGTTTTTTTCTTGTTTGGTCTACAAACAGTCAAGTCAAAAGCTCAATTGAATTAAATGCGCAGCATTTGCCCAACAAATTGTGGGTGGCTTGGACTGTAGTGACTCTCAAACTGTGGTCAAAGGCTTCAATTAAGCTTAATTAACTGCAATTTGCAAGCGAGGGGGAGGATGGAGGGTGGAGGGTGAATAATAGCACAATGTAAACAGCAACAAAATCAAATCAGCAGCAGCCGAACACAAAACAATTTGACGTCAAAATGATAAATACACGACAGCGGGAGAGACAGAGAGTGAGAGAGAGAGAGAGGGAGAGAGAATGAGAGAGTGGCTATATTGCGGCTATACAATAAAAATATATACACTTATGTGTATTATCGAGCACAATGTGAGGAACGTGGACAAACAACGCGACGCGCGGCACGGCAGCAACTGAATAGACCTAGGAATGGGGCCCCGAAAATGACATGTAAACTATTGTATATATAAACGTGGCTGAGAGATCGAGAGAGACCCGCCAAGTCAAAGTCTATAGTGCCATATGGAGAGGGGGGCTCTCTATCAAAGTCTGTGTGCTCATATTTTTGTATGTGCACAATGAACCATGCCAAAAAATACAAAATTATAGTACATGCCATACACAAAACAAGAATCTACTTCTAACGAAAAAACATATGTACTCAAAAAAAGAAAAAAAACAAAAAAAACCGTTGGCTAAAATAAACAAAAACTACAAACTATAAAAGACGCAACACGTAAAGAAAATAATTAAAATTCAAGCAGAGACATTGAGTAACAATTGCCGTTGCTAAACGGGAAAGGAGAGTGCGAAAGAGAAAGAGTCAGACAGAGAGAGAGAGAGAGAGAGAGAGAGAGAGAGAGAGAGACAGTGACAGCAAAAGAAAGGAAATAATAGGTTTGGGGAAGTGCAGAGAGCAATTTCTTAATGCTTCACTTTTTCTTGTCACTTCGCTTGAAGACCATCATCAAAATGTCAGCTGAATTAGTTCCAGGGTCATTGCGGTCTGCCGTCGCTTCCATTAAGGTGCGTGTAAACATCGGGAAACACTCTATGAAATTTTGTTACCTTTTGACACCAGTTGCTAAAGGGAGGAAATGGGAACTGGAAAGTTTTTGACTGTGTGACAGATGACATAATGAGGAAAGACAAATGCAGCTAACAAGTGTTAGGAAAAAGCATTAGGCAAGAGATAGATTAATCTGATGACAATTCAAAGCGTTGTGCTAAGAAATCGATTACCAACACTGCTCGTTCGACAGGTCTTTGTTTTGCTTAACACTGAACACTGTCCTTTGAATGGAATCAATAATAATAAAAGAGCAATTTTTAAAAGAATTTATGTTTCAAAGACTCAACACCGTTTTCTTTTTAAATAACAATTTAAAATCAATCGAATTAATAAAGATTTTATTGATTTGCACTCAGAACAATTAGCATTATCAACACTGATGTTTTCTGTTCCATCAATAAATATCTAAAATCAAAATTAACGAAATTTAAGTTCTTAAAGAGTGAACTTTATATATATATAAAATATTATTTTTTAATGTCAAATTTTAAATAAATCCAATTGAGATTTTATTGATTTAAATTAGAAGAAACTGAATCAGTTGAGTCATATATTGACACATTAGCAGCTCATAAATTACAAATGCAGTTGAAAAACTCACGATCACATCCCATTATAATCAACATTAGCTTTGACCTCAAAAGATTCCATAAGCAACATCAAACAAAACAAAACAACACAAAATAAAATAAAACAATACTTGCAACACTTTCCGCTGGCGATACAATGATCCCATTTGTTACATTTATCAAACTGGAGTCCGTTCCCATTACCATACATATATATCAGGCACAAGACGTGTATTGTAAGCAAATGCAAAACCGGACAAGTGAATGCTTGGCAGCAGCCGTTTATGTTGTCTTATCGGTCTACCAGTGACCTCCACAGTGATTGGGTGTTTTGAAGAGTTTTGAAAGAACAGCAAAAGTGTTGATCTCGTTTAATCACACGCTCGCCCGCCTTCCCACTTGTACGCCCAATTAGCAGACCCCAATAGGCCCAGCTGCAGTACTCATGCATAAAACTGGAAAATTGCATCATGCAATTAGCTGCATGTCGAATTTTAGTGCTAGTTGTGCCCCATGGTGCACAGCGTACGCTGAGAGAGAGAGAGAGAGAGTGGGAATGGAGTCTGTTGCATCTATCCCATTATATCCAATTCCAATTCCAATTGCCAACTGTTGCAATCGCATTAGCGCTCTCGCTCTGAGGCAAATTAATCTTTTAGAAACTTAAGACCCCAGAAGGCGCTTCTGTTCCCATTTCTAATCTCTCTGTTACTTTCGTTGACACATTTTTACACACTAATCATTCGTATGGTTAAGTTTGAACTCATTCATTCATTTCAGCGCTCATTCATTACTCATCTGAGTGTCTCTATTTTTTTATTTATTTTTTTTAATATATTTTTCTTTTTTTTGGCAGCTGATCTCATTTGACGCATTTCTCGAATGCTTCGCCAGATAATTGATGTGTTCTTGGTTTATTTTCGACCAGATGTTTGCCATTTACACAAAAATATTCTAAAATCTTTGTTTGTTTAAATTTTACTGTTTTCTTCCTTGCAAAAGTAAATATGTCAAGGAATCGCATAAACATTATGGGAAGCATTAGAGATAAAGTGAGCACAAAGAAAGAAAAATATATTTGCGTATGGAATGTTAACGACTTCCAGATATATATTTTTTGCGCGTTTATCAACACTGTTTTGCACCTGTTCTGCACTTTTATAACAAGACTTAAGTTATTTCTTATGCAAATATATTTTCTGCCCTTAACAACACTGTCCACTGATATATCTCCCATTTTCTGCACATTTATCAAAAGATTTAAGATGTTCACTATGCAAATATTAAATTTACACCTAACCAACACACAACATGATGATTGTTGCTTATTATGCATCCCTTCAACACTCACATCGTTTGTTTCCAGCATTTCAATTCAATTTTAAGATATTTTTTCACAAAAATCGGTTGATTTATCAATTCAGAAAAATAAGCAACAAATGTTGTTCTGTTGTTGCCAGAAACAGGTCAGAGTTCGACTAAACCAGCTGACATAGAAGCAGTGCTTTTATACAGTGAATTGACATTATTGACATGCTATACTAGAGACACGAGTGCATAGTATACAAAGGGGGGTCGACTAACTAACTAAACAGTGTCAACCCTGAACTTTTCAAAAAACAAAAAAAAAATACACAACAAAATTGGCCAATTGATGAAGGGAGAGAGAGAAAGGCTATTAATGCAATTGCTTCGACCATATCATGTAATATTAAAGAAGATGTTCAGGTTAGATTGTGAATTGTGGATGGTGGATTGTGGATGGTGGATTGTGGCTTGCTTACTTGCTCGTTGAAATTATCGCATATCTCGGCACTGAGGGCTCCGTTCATTTTGCCGTTTGTTCCGTTGGCTGTTCCGCTGTTTTCCTCAAAATCGCACAGCAATTTGTTTTTGAAGTTCTTTAGATTTTCCAATTTGAAGCCGTTGGTATTGGTATTGTTCGTTTTATTGTTGAATTTACTTGTCAACGTTTCCAAATTGTATACTTTATTATTATTATTATTGTTGTTCGATTCCAGGCTGTTGTTATTGTTGTTCGCTTCAAGTTTATTCTCGATAAAGACCAGGGAACTGGGCTCCGAATCCGATGGCACAATATCCTCAAAATCAGCCGGATTTAGGCTCAGAAATGTCTCCTGATCGATCAGTATCGGCTGCTTGCCAAATCCTGGATATTGTCCAGCCACGCCCACACCCAGACTGTAGGCGTTGCTCAGGGGATTTTGTGTGGAACTGGTATTGAAATTCAAATTCAAATCCTCCAAACTTTCCGCTGAGGAAATACTTTGACTAGCGTTCCGATCACTACCAAATTTCACGCAGTTGTTATTGTTGTTGTTGTTGTTGAGCGCGTTGTTCTTGTGATTAATTGCCGTCGTGCTGGTGCTGGTTGCTGCATTCACTGTTGGGCCGACAAATTCGAATTGACCCGCCCACATATCATAGGCTAAGTCAATGCTATCGGGCTGGCTGGCAGGTTGACTACTCATGATTTGTGTTTTATTTTTTCCCCCCGTCGATTTCTGTTACACTTTTCTTTTCGATGTGTTTTGTGGTTTGTAGTTCTGTGTTTTTTTTTTTTTGGCTTTGTTTTGTATTCAGTTTGGGGGCGTGGCACTGGGTGTTGAGTATTCACACTTGCTGTGTTAGTTTTATCTGTGTTGATGTTGTTGTTTGTTGCAAGCGGAAGACACTTTGTGTTGTTCTTTAATTTGTGTTTATTTTTAACATTTAAGGCACATTTTTAAATTAGTTTGATATTTAGTCTTTGTCGTTTATATTTTATATAATTTGTTGGGCACTTTTCTATGCATTGTTGCACACTACATAATAAATATAAATTTTTAATGCAATTCAACTCTAGAAATTATTTCTTATACTATTTTTCTAAACTGTATTAATTTTTAATTGTTTGGAAACCTTTGATATATTTATAAATAGTTACTAAGTTCGCATTTAGAGATATCTTCAATTATAAGTCACTGACATAAAGTGTGAGAAAAATATTTAATTTCAATGTTGGATTTGCAAAATTTTTCCAGAGAAATAATTTTTTTTTTTAATTTCCTACAGAAGAAGCCCGCCCAACAATTCTGTGTTAGTTGACTCTCACAGCAATTAGACTCCTCTGGGCATCTTTCTGGCACTAAATTCAAGAAATCCACGCACAATAAAACATTATAAAGCAATGCGTACGCATATTTCCCTAATGAGTTCTTTCAACCCAAAGAGCAATCAAAACAAAGTGCGAACAACAATTGCCAGAGTTATTTTTTCTTAATTTGTTCTGCAGATGGAGTTTAAACGATATCAGGCCTAATGGAATGAAGTTTGCAAGATGAAAATCAGGCTCGGGGCTATTACACAAATTGAAAGGTACAACTGTTCCGGATTCCAAGCAGTAAGCAGCTTCGGGGGCCCACACCAGCAGTGCACAATATGAAGATGATGCAGAAGGCAAATAATCAAACAAAGGAAAATGGCGAATGGATTCGAGAATATTTCTGCAGTGTTTTTCTCGTCTGTACTGCATTTTTTTCTTTCTTTTTTTTTTAACATTTCATGCAGGAAATGCGCGAGCGCTCAAACAAAACAAAATTCATAAGATCCAAGTTCTTTTTCTTTACTGACATTACCCCCAACCAATTCCCCCCCCCCCCTTCCCCTGCCCGCTTGCACCACCACTTTTGTTTTGGTCACGCCTCTTTCTACACGACTGAGTTTGCTCTGTTTGGAGAGTCTTTTGTGTTTAATTTCCGACTTGAATTGATGAACTTCGTGCAGATAAAGAAGACTCTTTGCAACGTCTTCTTCTTCTTCTTCTGCTTCATATTCCTCTTCTTCGTCTTCTTCTTCTGCTTGCTTGTTTAGTGGAGCATGCAATGGTGCAATTCTTTGCCTCGCATTGCATAATCTTACTATGCCTTCGGGGGGTCGTCTTCCCGAGAGTTCATTTCAGAGTTCTGAACTGTTTTCCCAACATCCCAACAACAACAACAATGCCACGATGTTGATGATGATTCAATCGAAGAACTAGGGAAAATGTGTCATGCACACATGAGTCTTAAATTTTCTGATGCCGCCACTTAAATTGTTTATAATAAATTCACATGATTCACAGATGCCGAAATGAAGAGCGCGCCGCAGCCTTTTTGGCTTAAGAATCGCACACAATTGTGCATGTCAAATGGTTTTAAGTGGCAGCCATAATAAATTTTAATTTATTTTCAGCGCAAAATTTGAAAAAAAAATTTCGGACTGTGGATGCATAAATTGTGCTAAGTACAAAAGTATATTCTCGGAACTTTGGTTCTTTGAACACGCCTAGTGTGTAAAACACAATGCAAAACACATTTTACACAAATAGTCAACGGATTCCAATTACATCAAAAACTACTGCAAGAATAATTTGAAAACAAATCTTTAAAAAAGTAAAGTATTTTCATATTAAATTGCAGCTCGATTTCGTAATTTACAGCTGATTGAACACTAAGATCTATTATAAGTTTAACACAGAATGGAGTGCTTTGACCCCACTTGGCAACCGCAAGTCGACTGCAACTAAACCACAAAATTCATTGATTTATGTAGTTTTTGTCAATGGACCATTACAGGAGCAGCAGTAAACAAACACAAACAAAAACAAAAACAACAGCAACAACAACTTTCACCAGTCTTGACCAGCCGCAACAGCAATCGCAACAATTTAAAGTCTGTCGCACATTTCTTAGCCAAAGTTATTTCACTGGTTTTACATTTTTCTCCAGAAAAGCGCATTAAATTGTATTAAAAAAAAGAAGAAAAAAAGACGTGCTTTGGCCTTTGTTTTTCATCGGATGCTGCACTCAGCTGCGACTTTTATGGCCGGCCATTTATAAACATGGGATAATCGATAAATCGGTGGCGTATGCGTGATATTCCAACGCCCCTGCGAAATGAACTGCAGACATTTTTATGATCCTCTCATGTACATTGATTTGTGGCTGCCACTTGACGCGTTGCAGATGCAGATGCAGTTGCTCTTGCTGTTATTGTTGTTGGTATTGATGTAGTTGCAGTTGTAGCCAAAGTTGCGGGCGCTCACGTTTTAAGACAATGGAAATTAAGTTAATGACGCACCTACACAACGTGCAGCGATTCGACGTGAAAATGAAAATGGTATTACACAAAATTATCATAATAATGATGCGACTTTGTTTGACTATGTTTTATTGTTTTCGCGTTTGCTGCCCACACAAATGATAAAAGATATTTTGGACCACTTGGTCCAAATTTATGGGCAACTTTTGCTTAGGAGTTGCATATTAAATTAACATCATTTATCGGACTTATAGAAATTCCAGTGTCTGTTAAGACATGGCATTTAATGTAACCAAGACCCTCACTTCAAGGTTTATTACATTGTTTCTTTTTCTCTCTTGTACATAAATATTAACAAATAGAAAGCCTGACCAATAATGATAATAGATACTAATAGTATGTATTACTTTCCTTTATAATATAGTTTATTTTTTGGTGAACTGTTCGAAATTGATCGTACTATATATGAAAATTAAAATCATAATAAAATCGAAAAATTAAGTTCACAAAATTACAACAATATTCTCTTTACTTGACTCAACTTAAGTACTTTTAAAAATGTTTGTAAATAAATACATAAATTACTAAATCATTTATAAAATTATTAGGATAACATTGTGGAAACGTAAATTTAAACTCATCACTGAAATAATTTTAATCAGCACATGTTCTGGAAGTATGGCTCTCATTCCCTGGAATTACAAATGTCAGTTGGGTCCGGTATAAAAAGCAATTGAATCGCTGAGTAAAGCTTTCACATAATGGATAGTTAGCAATTGTTACAATTGGAAGGCACTGTCATAATCCACTGACTGCTGTTCTACTTTCGAACAGCAACTCTTCGAGGAAAGCAATTTAACAGCATTAAGGCCTAACAAGTTTAGGACTAACACTATTTCAATGAAGAAGAAGAAAGCAAAAAAAAAAGAACCATATGCAATTTAGTGGAGCATTTGCGCCAGTTTCTAACCTCATTGTATGAGTGCAGAACACATTTTTGCCATGTCCATTACAAAAGCCTTTCCGACGCCCACACGACAAGCCCTTTCAGAACTTGGCCAACACACACACACACACACACACACACAGAGAGACAGCGACAACAACTTGGCTAACCTCGTTTCTAAATGTGAGGGCTGTCAGGGAGTCAGACACAACAGCTGTTTGCTGTCACACTGATCTCTCACCTTGTCTTTTGCATAATTTCTCAATGCAATTGCAGGGTGAGCAACAACAACAACAACGACAACAAAAACAACTCTTAACTGTTTAGTAATCATAGAAGTGGCAGCAACTGCTAAAGTTTACTGGCTGTTTGTGCCTCTTTCATTTACATTATATAAGCTGCATGTTTGAAGAGTCAGCAGAGCGTTAAATGATTTTTGTGCCAAAGACAATTAGAATATTCCAACCAACTTCTAAGCGGCGAGCTATTTTTTCTTTTTCTTTTTATTTATTTATTTTTTTCTTTGAGTGTAATGAAAGCAGTTTGCTTTATTATTTTGCATGTCCAGCAGCGCTGTTTTGTTATTCCATTCGTAGCTTGGCATATCCCCAACTAGTTTCTAATTACGCCAAATGCAATGCTCCGCTGCTCGCCAACCATGGAAATAACATTGTTAAGTCTACTTAGCTACTCGAAATCAAAAGAGAAAAATAAAAAATAAACAGCAAACAGCAAACAAAAAAGGCAACGCTCACAAACATTTCAGCAGCTTATCAGTGGTCGACTTTATAGGTAAAACGCCCTTGTGCCATCTAAGGTCAATTTTAGACGGTGTCAAGGGGCCAACGCAGCCGGGGAATGATTGATAATGGTTTAGAATTCGGTTTGTTTTGTTTTGCTGGGGTGGACTATGTATTCCATGTACATTGAGCTGTTCATAGAAAAATGTGGAATAAAATGCCATGCTTCTAGACCGGTGCAGAGGAAGTATAAGATGGATTACTGTTAAGTAAATATGTAGATTTGAAATAAATAATTCAAAATTGTGCAAGTATACAGGTTTTTTAAGCCAGAACACACCACACATTAGCACTTCAAACAAAAGCAGCTCATACCAAAGAAGTATTTTCCAAATAAGTGTATAAAAATTACTTGAAACTAAGCAAAACAAGTGGAATTAAATCACTATGCTGTTAAATGTATTCAAATTTGCATTTATCACACTAATAAAATATAATAAAATCACGCCTTTATTAAATCGCCAACTAAACTTTCGTTAGTTGGAATTTTTACGAGTTTTTTTTTAATAATTTGCTCCCCATCTTTAAGTCAATAACAGCAAACAGTAGCGGCAAAAACGAAACGAAAAATTTATCATTAGCTTTTCAGCATGATTTTCACTGCACATTTACATACAATTGCCCCATACGAACTTGCTGTGTAGGTGGTTGGAGAATTGGCCTCTCTGGCAGAGTGCAGAGGCTGGTGGACGGAGGACGGAAGCTTCAGGTGTAGGTGGGGACTGCGGCTACATAAATAAACAGCAAGCAGCTCATTAAATGCAAATATGGTGTACAACAACAGCAGCAACAACATTGTATTGTATTGAGCATATTTTTTGTGTATGTTGAACAAAAGAGCCTCAAATATTTTATAAATCAATTTATTTTCTTTCTTTCTTTGCTTATCAGATTTTCGCGTTTTCATTTCAATGGGATGGTATTTTAATTTGCATGTCAAGTGGACGCAGGAAAAGCAGACGTCAAATTGAATAAAGTTTGCAATTTTCATATCAATCACCAAAGATTAAAAGATTTCCAAATGAATTCAGTTGAGGGCATACTTTGAAATAAATTGAACATAATTAATTATGTGGAAACTCTGAACACTGGCAACTAAATTAAATTAAATTCAATGATGGACAACAATTGCTCAACTGATCACGAATTTAATAAATATTTGTACAACAGATTTACGATTTATTATTTGATTACGAATACACGCCAACCTACCCAAATAAACAAATCCCGAAATAACACAAAAATTCGACTAAAACACGCGAAGCGCGAAAGACGAACTGAATGCAAAGATTCACGGGCATTTTATAAAGTAAATTATAGCAAATTTAAACTGAGAGAGCCACAGATAAGGCTAGTGAGAGTGCCAGAGAGAGCAAGAGAGCAGGAGAGAGAGAGAGAGAGGGCAATGAGAGTCTCTTCTCCCTCAACCCCACCGGCAATTCGAGAAGATCTTAAAAATAGGCAAACAAATAATGCACAAAACAACAAAGAAATTAACGTCGCCTCGGTTCTGCACGCGCTTTGGTTCTGTTCTCCTGAGAGGGGTGCGGAAGGGAGGGAGAACTGGCTTTTCAATCAACAATTTGCCATATGTGCGCCATCAAATCGGGGTTGTCGGGGTGCTCGTGAAAATACTCTCCACATCTGGCACAACATTGTTACGAGGTCAGTTCAGTGAGTTGGAGTAAATGCAACTAGTGCTAATTAGGATCTGTTCAAAATATAAATAATATAAACATAATTTTTGCAGAAACAAATTAAAGAAAAGAAGATAAATAATACCAATCAATATCCAACACTATTTATATTCAATATGACTGTTTTCTGGCACTTTGGACTACTTATGGAGCCTCCCTCGCTTACTGACTCTTGCGGCAGCGACAACGCATAATTATGAGGAATTTCAGGCACAAACCCCCCGCGCCTAAAGCGACTAATAAAAGCGCAAGTGAATAAGCGCGGACACGAACCAAGTGAGTCGGTCGCTAGCAGCAAGCAAGAAGAAGGAAGGGGAGCGGGACACGCATGCCGGTCCAACGATGGTCACGCGTCATCGGAAGAAAATACGAAGGCCGACAGGCGTCCCTGCCTCCCCCCTCAGCGTAAACTGGGTGTGTCATTGAGTTGATGTCATGACGAGAAGCTAGAGATTTCCCCTTAACATCAAAGACCTTATTGCTTATTGGGTACATGTTTTTGCTTCTGATTCCGGTTCTCTGTGTTTGTCTGCCGGTCATGTTCCGTTATAATACTGACTACTAATTGCCTGCCTAATGAAAATTTCTACCAAAATTAACGGTAAGGAAACGGCTCGAGCAGACACACGAGACCAAACACAAATAAAAAAAAAACAGAAACCGAAATAAAAATAAAAAGAAAATCTATTTTAAGTGAACTTGAAATTGTGCGTGAATGTTCTTCATTTATTTTATACGCTTTTTATAGCATGTTCTTATTTAAAAAAAAAAAAGGCTAGTTAATGCCGCAAACTTCCGTTTAGCAGCTGATACCTAAAGCTGAAGAGAGTACAAAACGTAATTTAAACAATTTTAACACAAAAAAAAAACTAGTACACTCTAGTTGTCCAAAGTATTTTGTAGGTCACTCTAAAGCCTTGATTTAACTATTATTATTATGGGTGGTACATATTGTATGTATTTTATTTTATTATATATGTATCAATAATATTATAGTTTGTCATTGATAAAACTATATTGATTTAAAGCACAGATGTTTTTTCGCTTTACTTCGTTCAATGGATTTTTCAGCCTTTTTATGCAACCACAAACTTCAATTCGAGATCAACCAAGCAATATTTGAGCGTTGCTTTCCATTAGCCGGCTGAGTAATCATCGTTGATCGATTTATGGACCGAGACACGTAAGGTTTTTACATCAAACGTCGCAATTAGCGTCTCAATTTTGCATTGAATAATCGTTTAATGAGCCGAACACACAACGACACACACATACTCACAAAAATACATACACACTTTAATACACATGCACCGAGTCAAGGCACCTGACAAACGCTTATAACTGATAAACGCTCGCTATAAACGTTTGGCAACCGTCAATCGATAAAAGATTGTCAGCTTTTTTGTTGAAGCGAATTTCATTTACATCTGGCACTTTTTCATTTTGCAGCAAAATCGTTGTCAAATTATTTAGCACCCACCACAAATGAGAAGAAAATGCGGCAACAGCAACTGCAGCTGCAATTGGCGTCTTTTGCATTTTCCACCAAAAACAAAACAACACAATACAAAATGTTAAACACGCGAGCGCTAACAGAGACAGAGAGAGAGTAAGAGACGAAGAGAGGGAGAGCAAGAGAGCGGAACTCCCCAGCCAACGCGAGGCGGCCGTTTTTCCGTTGTTATCGCTTCGTCCGTTTCGTTGTGCACGCGGCAAGAGTTAAATGCAATCTGAGCGCACAGAGTACGTTGAGCGGGCGAAGCGTATCATAGAAGACATTGGCGTCGACGCCAGCAGCAGCAACGCTGGCGCGTTCACTAACTAAGCTAACTTGTTGGGGTGCCGCCGCTAACGTCGCCGTCGCCGTCGCCGTCGCCGTCGCCGTCGCCGTCGCCGTCGCCGTCGCCGTCGCCATTACCCTCGCAGTCGCTTCGCTGCTGTACTATGTACAGCCGAAAATGCGACTAATGCGACTTAGCAATAGAAATTTGTAGTGGGAAAGTGTTGCAAAGTACAGCAAAAGACATAAGAATACGACAAAGGTAAGGAACAGACAGAAGAGGTGGGCGGCGTCGTAAATGCAAAACGTAGCTGTTATTAGATCTGTTATATGCCTGTTAAGCTAAACGAAATAGCGCAAATTAAATACTTGAGACTAAGTAAACCAAAAAAAAAACTTATTGATCGTATGAAAGCAAACTGATTAATGTATTTTACAAATAAATAAATAAATACAAATAAAAATATATAGTTTTTGTGTAAGAAACGACAGATATAAATTTAATGACTTCCACAAATCTTTATGTATTAAATAGTACAGCAGATTAATGTAAATAAAAACTATGAATTCGCATTGTTTTTGCCTACGCTAGTTAGGAAACCGGTTGCCAAGACTCCCTTGCGTGCTGCAATTTCTCGGTTGCCTATCACTACATGGTAAGTACATATTGGTACCCTATCAGGGGGTCTGGTCTGGTCTGGTCTGTCTTTGAGCGTAGTCACAGCAACAAGCCCAACAAACTACATTTTGTATACACAGAAACAAAAATAAATGAAATGCAAATAAATGACAGCATGCGAATGCAATTGCAAATGCGGATTGCGACTGCCTCTTATTGCTCGGTAAGGTAGGCCTCTGGGTTCAGGCGGCGTTATTTGTTTGCTATTTATTAAACAATGTACACAAATGTTCAACTAATCAGTGTAAACAACTCTAAGCTAGCTTTGGAACAACTGCCGACACTGGCTGGCAATAAAACTTCTAAGTAACACAGCGAATCAAATATCATAATACTGCTAAATATTTAATTTGCTGAATGGACTTGCAGAGGTGTTATGCATCCTAAGCATGTATATATATATAAATATACAGCTTATTCATGTACGTGTGCATGTGTGTGTGAGTCACTAGAAACACAAATAATTAGATAAGGAAATGATAAAGGTTGGCAAAGTGTTGCAGAATTAGTTCTTTGTATTTGCTTATAAGTTTTTCCGAACTAGTTTGTTGTTAGAATAATTATTTATAATCCATTTTAAAAGTGATTTGAAACAGAAATGTTATAAAATTCAGTGAAGCAATTTTCAAGAGCCACATTATATAAGTTGGTACAGTGTTGCGGAACTAGTTCTTTCTTTTAGAGAAGTGTTTGCGAACTAGATCGTTGAGTGTAATTTAGTAAAAAAAAAGTAATAATTCATATTCATATAAATAATCAATCGCATCTGAAGGATATTCAGTTTTTCAATAATGATTTAAAACAGGAATATTATGAAATTCGATGATGAACAGACACATTATCTTAGTTCTTTGCGAACTAGTTTGTTTGATGTAATTAATCCATAATAACCAAAACACTTGTAGCAATAATAAATATTAACAATCAACAATAAATAAAATCTTTAGAGTATTTAACTTTTCACTTTATCATATGATGCAATCGTTTTCAACAGCCACATTCAAAGAGAAATATTGGTAAGCAGACAGGGTATATGAAATTAATCATATCTTGTGATCACTTCCTTTAATTGTAAATGTTAAGAGTTCAACGCGATTTCAGTCGCACGTAGGCAATAATTGCTGACTCTCCCTGGCTGTCTGATAGTAAATGTCTCATTATTTATAATAAATTGGTGCACAGCAACAACAACAACAACAACAACAATGAGAAAAGTTGGCGAGTTTTGGTGTGGCAAGTGCGCAAACTAGTTGACTATTATTGTAACGCCCGTTTGCCTTGTACAACCTTGCAAAAACAAAAAAAATCACCAAAAGAGGCTTAAAAGCAACTACAAACACAAGTCACAGTCCAAGCATGACGTAATAAGCCAGCAAAACGGACGGACGGACGGACGGGCGGACGGACAAACTGACATAAGGCGTAGGATTTGTAGCGCTGTTGTTGTTTTTATTGTTGTTACTGCTGCTGATATTGTTCGCCAACGAGTCGAGTGCCACGCCCTCGCTTCAGAGGCGCCTCGTGTGGAAAATCAAAAGCAACAACAACCTGGCAACGTTAACATTTTATGGCCAATTCTTTTTGCGATGTTTTGGCTCTGATAGCCAAACACCGTTCTTTGGGCCCGTGGGTTCGCAGGTGTTGAGCTCATTGTCTGACACTTACACCCAGCCGCAAAGTTAGATAATAAACTCGGGTGATATATGTACTTGTAAGTAAGTGTATGCTGAGTGTAATGTTGCTTACCACAAATTAAAACAGAAGAGCGGACATTAGATTAGTATTTAATATATGTAATAATAATATATCCATGTACGTGTCTCACAAGGCAAAGTCAACAAAAAATGATTGAGATCTTGGGGTGACATGGAAAACTCCAAACTTATCAAAGTAAACTAAGGGCAAAAAATCGATTGATTATGTCCATAAATATTATATTATTATATTAAATATAGTATTCCAAATAATTGTATTTATTTTTTTTACAATTTGATAAACAAAATATTGAATAAGTATTTTGCAAGTTGAATCAAAATCAATTTTGTTTATAATTTTAATTCAATGCATAAATGGTAATTAATTAACATTATAGCTACCACAACTATTCTGACAATTAATTATATAATTATAATATAATTAATAATTTAGCAATAACAAACTTATAAAATGCAAATCTATAATTTTTTTGCAGACTGCGGATATAATCGAATGAAATATATTTTCATAGTGCTTCTAACTCTAATATTCGATTTGTTAAGACAGTCAGACAACCTGTCACAAAGACACATTTGTGTTGGATATGCAGTTATGGATTTTTCTGTTTTGTGTTCCCTACAACAATTTTCCGCATTTAACTTAAACGTTTCTTAAATATCTGTAAGCCGTTCTATGATAATACCTTTTGTTCTGATCGCATTTACATTAATTACAATAATTGCAACATTTTATGCTTGAATTCGTTGCGTTTTACATCGCGTGGGTTTCTCAGTTTCTCAGTGTTTCCGCTTTTTTGGGTCAACGTTTAATTTGGGTTAAAAATCGATTTTCGTTTATGATTTTACTGTTTTGGTTTTTTTTTGTCTATCTCACATTTGTGTTTCTCACTTTTGCCTTATGCTCTTTATGTTGTGCCGACTTTGAGTGTGTGCGACGAGTGTGTCTGAGATATGTGGGTTGTGTGGGCAGGTGCCAGAAAATTGTTTAATCGATATGATGGAAGACCAAGCAATTTGTTGTTGTCCTATTATAACAACAAAACCTTTTAGTAAATGTATCGCTCGATGCTTTGTTTTAGGTTAAAGGGGATTACTCAAGACATGGTGGCAGGTGAAAAATGCTTTTTTCACACACAACATACTTTACTAAAAAAAAAGACTATTTTTCTACACAGATTATAAGGTATAATCAATCTTAAAGAATCGATATTAATTTTCTCTGCCCCCTTTTTTTGGGACTGTCAAAATTAATAAGAATCAAACCAGGCAGAGCATTTTCAATTCTCATTGGCCATTTATTCGTCGAATTCAATTGTATATTCTTTCCATTTTTCTAATGATTCTTTCGATTTTCTGTTTTGGTACTCACACTATAAGACTTTCAAAAGGTCATAAAACACCGTAAAACAGAAGCTCTAAAATGAAAACTTTTCACACATTTCACCTTGGCCCAGTGCCCAACAGCAGCGAACCGAACCCGATCACAAAGTGGTCAAAGGTTTCCATGGGAATGGACAACAGTTTTTGACCCTTTTTTCTTATTTTGTTGGCTTTAACGCCTCTTCTGGCTAATTGTCAATGCTCTGTTTGGCCTGTCGCAGCAAGTGAAAAGTGAAAAGCAAAGCACGAAACGAAAAAGTGAAGCAAACAAAAGAACACCAGAAAGGTGTGTGGAAGCAACCATTTAATTAGCTAAGGTCAGTTGGGTTTGGGTTTGGGGTTGTGAATGTGTTTGGGTCTCTTGTTGTTTATCAAATGCGGAAGAAGCTAAACAAGTGGCTTTTATAACATGTCCAATTGCATAAGGCTCCCCTCGCTTTCCCGCTGGCTCCTAAATCAACTGTGACTCGAGTATCTGCAAGATCTGCTCCCACAACTCTTTCAAAGACCCGTCGCCAGATGGCAATCTATGTCACACTCTTCTGTGTCTGCCTAAGTCTGCGTGTGTGTATGTGTGTGTGTGTATGTGTGTGTGTGTGAGTGGGGACGCACTTATGCAATTATAACTGTTGTAGGCATTCGAGTATGTAAAATACAAGATGAAGCAGCAGCAAACAATGGCAATTGCAATTTGTTCAATTGTCAAGAGATCTTTTTGGCATTTAAGTGGAGTATGCCTCGTTGTCTTGTTGCAACCGATGACGACACTTCACTCATCTTCAAGTTGCCACAGCCAAATCGAATAAAGTGCCTTCAGTTATTAAGTATTCCAGATTAACTAATAATCTAATTTAAATTCACAATCTGTCGATAAGATAAAAATGTTACGCTTTTCAAAAGATTTCACATGCCAGTCGGACAAGTGACAATTAAGACTTTATTACAGCAAATCCATCAGGGAAATGATATAATCGGAAATGTAAGACGCATATTTATGATAAGCCATATTCGATTTTTGAAAAGAAAGAGCAGATGGGAAATGCCCTTGTGAAATGAAGTTCATTATTAATTAAGTACTATTTGAGATTGCTTAAGTTATATTTGAAAACGAAATATTTATTTTTCTTCTCTTTTTTTTTTTAGTCCACGTTAAATAAATAAATAAATAAAATA